GACGTCCTTGCTACAAGATAACAGTACTGCATACTGCACCACCATGCAGCCCACTAGTTTCTGCTGTGCACTGTTGATTTTTATTGTTTACCATTGATCTCTACATTGTTGTTCACTGTTGATTTTAGTTATTTTCCATTGTCTTCTGTTTATCATTGGTCTTCGTTGTTTTTTATTGACTGAGATGGACTGACAACCTGTCCAGGGTGTAGCCTACTTGTTTGTCCGAAGACTGGTGGAGATAGACACCAGTCCCCCACGACCCTAAATGGACAACTGGTTATAGAAAATGGATGGATGGTTTTCATTGATAAATGTTATTTTCTTTCATTTACCACTAGTCTATGTTATTATTATTATTATTATTATTATTATTATTATTATTATTATTATTATTATTATTATTTTATCACTAGACTTCACAGTTCACCATTGGTCTTTTTTTATTACCACTAGTCTTCCTTGTTTACCATTGATACCTGCTGTGCCTGTTATTGACAGTTGGTCTCTGTTACATTGTGTACTGTTGGAACACTGACACTGATTGTTCATCATTGGGTTCATGTTATTCAACCAGAGACAAACAATATTTACTATTGGTGTCCATAATTCAGTGTTGGCCCGCCTGCTCCTAGATACCAAGGATTTTAGTTTGTCCTTGAATTCACTTTCTAACTGCGTTCAAGTCTGCACGCTGAATCAGATGGACACCATAGTACCCCCAATGTTACAAATAAATAAATGTGTTTTTAAGATGTTCTGTTGAAATTATCTGAGTATTAACACAACTTACACAGCCAGAAGGCACATGAACAAGTTTATAACAGGTTTCTGTGTTCAGTTCCTTGTTTCAGTTCCTGCAGGAAATTGTTAATTCAGATCTCCTGGGTCTCATTAGCATCACTGTTGTGTGCAGCAGCTTGTTTTTGCAAAAGCTGACTAAAACTTTGTATTTTCTGCAGAAAACGCAAATAATTGTTCAACAGTTGCATTCCTGTTTGTTGTCAAAAACTAAGCCTCAACAAATTTAGATCCTGAACTTATTTTCTCAGGTGATCAGAATCTTTACTGTGACATCTGACCATGCTTTCTACAAGTACTCATGTTTTTTTTTTATATTTTAGGTGATGATGCCCAGCGTAAGGGTGAGGCTTTCAGCTTACTTTGCTGCCCTCAAGTGGCTAAAAATCTTCAAACATGGGTCCAAAAACAACTTTCACAGCAAGGCTGATGGCTTTAAACCAGACTAAATAACAAAAACAAAACAAAACAAAGAAACACCATGTGAATCTTCCAATGCATGTTAAGAATTAGTTTTACACATATCAGCCAAGTTGTTTAGTCTTCACTGAAAATCGCACGTCAGTAATTAGCTCTCTCACCAATGAAGTGACAGCCATATTTTTCCCATCACTTCGAGCTGACAGATATAAAAGAAACATGATTGACTACATTTGATAGAAGCATCCTTTGAACTGTCAATCATGGAGGAAGATTTTGCCTCATCCTGTCAAAAAATGAACCTGACACAGCCTGAGATGAGGGAGATGGATGTGGAGCGGGGGGTTGTTAAGCATTCCATGTTATGACACAGTTATAAAACTTTCATCAGGGTCACAAGGACAAACTAACTGTTGAAATGAGTTCCTGACATCAGAGACCCATGTTTTTTTCTGGTTTGTGTAATTACCCACAGTGCTCTGTCAGCTATTTTTAGTCCTCCAGTTGCTCAGATAAGTCATTTATGAGCAGGAGACTTGACTCATCCAATCCTGCCCTACCATTGATGACCTTCCTCACCTCCATCCAGGGACAAAGACCGAGCTGCCCTTATTAAGAATGGTGAAGTGTATGAAGAACACTTGCTGGAACACACTTTAAACCCATGGAACAAGGCCACAGGTTTGAAAATCATAAAAAAAAATATGTACTGTCAAGGCAGACTGTAGATAGGCAATGTCAGATTTTAGTTTTGATTTCACTATTTTACTCAACATCTTGGGGAGAAAAAGGCTTTAATTTTCTGCTTTATTATAGCAATTTTAGCACAATGGAGGAAATGCGTATGATTTAAGCTATAGACCAACAGAAACCTTTTTAAAATCTAAACCAAATTATATATTTTCTCTTATGTTTTATTTATACGGGTGTTCATTTGGCTAAACAATTTATCTGCAAAGATTTGAATGCTTTTGCAGTGAACTATGACATGATGCAGATGAAACACCATCAGGTATTTAGGTTGCAAACTCAAACCAAGATACAGCAAGAACATGATTGGTTGTTAAAACCAGTTTGGTGTTAAGAAAGCCAAATAATGTAAGCCAAGCAACAAAAGGTTGTATTGAAGCCAATAGAGGATACTAATGGGAAATATATTTTTACATGGTAATAAATTACAGAAATGTGAGAACGTTTTAACCTAAAATCAGAATGCATAAGCTAACTTTAATTTTGAGACTCTGTACCATGATCTAAAGGCCAAAACAATGCTTTAAACAATGCCTTTGGTGGTAAACTCTATCCATCTTGCTTGGTAGAAATGGTGTTAATACATAGTCTTTCCAGTTTAGGATTACATATATTTTAACACTCGGACTCGCCAAACTACCCAAACACGATAGGACCTGATTAAATGAGTTTAATGTTTTCCAAAATGATCTTTTTAGCCTTCATCACCATGTGTTCTAGGGTTTTTTCTTGATTTGTCATCCAAAAATTCATTAATTATATGTTGGATTAATGAAACTTCAAGAAACTAAACAATTATTTTGTGAATATCAACAAAAATTAAAAGACAACAAGAAAAAGTGTTTCAATTCAACAGAATAACCATTGCTTTAATAAGATGCTTTAAAATGAACATATCAATCAAAAATTGAAAGTATAAAAATAAAAAGAGTTTCATGTGAGAGTAAAGAAAACGAACATATACCAGTCAGGAAGCTAGGAGACATACTTTAAAATTAAATCGCTAAAAAGGGGAAGACAGTGAGGGGGAAAAAAGGATAATTCAGACAAAAGCAGTGGGTGGGGCAGCAGGGACGTAGTCCAACATGTTGCCAAACAGAAGTTGAAGGATTTTTGTAGTAACTTGACCGTTTCTACTACTGCCACCAATCATTCTAACTGTGGTTGTACGGGTAATTGTCGGCCATTAGGCAAGTTATTCTAACGTACATGCTTTTCGTCTGTGGGAGGAAACCTGACTAGGAAAAAACCCACACATGCATGTGGAGAACATGCTTACTTTGCAGAAAGGTTGCACTTCTAACCTGCATCCTTCTGACTGAACAACAGTGCTACTAACCACACCCCACTCAGCTGGAAAATAATTGTATACATTCATATTTAAAACCCAGTAAACTGGTTAAATTAGTTAATATCCTGCAAAATCCAAACGTTTCCACATATTTTTCATGTAGCTAGCTAGCCTAAACATGTCCGCCATTAAAATGTATGTTTAGAAAAAAACCTCTGCACATTTTTGATAACAATGACATAACAAAATGTAATTATTAGGGATGCACGATATAGCTACATCAATATCTCTCTGACCTGCTCACTCCCTATGCACCCACTCGCACGTTGAGGTCAGTTGACCTGTTGCTTTGCACTCCCCGGATGCATTAGAAATCACGGGGTGAATGAGCATTTGTACATGCTGCCCCAACGCTGTGGAACTCTCTACCTACTATAGTTCGACAGGCTCTATCATTGGCGGTTTTTAAATCTCGTTTAAAGACCCACTTGTACAATTTGGCTTTTAGACTGTGGCTCGTTTTATTGTGTTCTTAGTATTCCTCATTTTTTATTTGCTTTTATTGATTGATATTTTTATCTTGTTTTTGTTGCTTTGATTGGTCGTGATTTGGTCCAGCCTGTGCAGCACTTTGGGCAGCTCCCATGCTGTGTTTTAAGTGTGCTATATCAATAATCTATGATATGGTATGGTAATATCGATATCGGCTGATGTTAGCCATTATTTTACCTTAATGGTATCAGTCCTATAAGTAAAGCTGGGCTGATATTAACAATGTTTTTTTTCCATCTTGTTTCCATTCGTGTATCGGTTTCAGAGAGTGAGGGGGGTGATGTGTAATGTAATTGTTTAGTCACGTGACAGTGATGGTAATCATCTCAGAACCATACCACACACACACACGCACACACACACATGGATTTTATTTCCCTTAGATTGTAATACATGTTTTTCAACATTTAACATCCAATAAATCCATCTGTATAAAAACATGTGTTGGTTTAGTGACTAAAATATAACTTCTGTACCAAAAGTCACAAAAATCAGGTTACATAATTTTTTTAGGGGAGAAAAAACAGGCTTGAATTCATCATCCTGAAATCGAATAATTCAGATTTCTCTTTTATCCAAGCATGTCTTTTGTTGTGGCATCTGAATTGTCTCTAGGACTCGGCTAGTGATTTACAGTACAGGCCAAACGTTTGGACACACTTCTCATTCAATGTGTTTTCTTCATGACCATGACCATTTACAAAGGGGCCAACAAGTGCTCAACACCTCTGGGAACTCCTTCAAGGCAGTTGGAAAACTATTTCAGGTGACTACCTCTTGAAGCTCATCAAGAGAATGCCAAGAGTGTGCAAAGCAGTAATCAGAGCAAAGGGTGGCTAGTTTGAAGGAAATATGAAATAGGTTTTCAGTTATTTCACCTTTTTTGGTTAAGTACATAACTCCACAGTTTTGATGCCTTCAGGGAGAATCTGCCAAGGTCATGAAAATAAAGAAAACACATTGAATGAAAAACTTTTGCATGTACTGTATATTAACATTTTAAAGTTTTTTTTATAAAAATGCCAAGATACCATAATTATCATAGAGTACTTTTAACACAACTATGTGCATTAAAAGCAAAAGTACATATGATTGTCCATGAGAAACTGAATCTTGTGGATGTGTAACTTAGTTTTCTTTGATAATTATATACCAAAGAAAATAATTTAAGAACAGAGCAGATAAATGACTGTTAAGCATTTTTTTTATTTTCCTCTTCAATTCAATTCTTGACATATATGCCACATTTACTTCTGCTTTACATCCATGTTAAATAAAATAATAAAATAAAATATTCAGTGGATGATGAACAACTTAAATGTTTCACAGTTTAGGAATGCTGTGGCAGTGTTTCTGTTCAAGATGCACACTCTGCCAAACCTTCTGACAGTAGGATTCGTGTGTGTCTGACAGATTCCCTGTGGCTTCCTGCAAACGTAAAGCTAATTTTGAGACAGTGATGAGAAAACTCAAACGAAAGAAAACACAGCAGCTTCAGTAAATGAAATCCCCTTTAAAAAATGCGTGATAAGAAATAATGTCTGAATAAGTTTCTGTCCTCAGTAAAGTACTTTCACTTTATACAGCAAGTTTACATTTTTCTTCACTTGCCAATAACCATATAAGACACAAAACTCTAGTTTCATTATACAATAGGTGTAAACCCCCCTGAAAAGACTAGAGTCATTAAATCAAACTCAAGCATTGCTTAAAGCATAATCACTCTAAAGGAAAGATTATTGAGCCTCAAAGAAAATTTTAACCAAATCAAATGTGTTTACACTCCCGGGTTTTCCTTCTCCTTTGGTAGCAGTTTTTCATTCGCCGAGTCCTGTGGGACTTTAGAGACAGTCTTTTTCATTTCTCGACTTTTGACCCATGTGTAGGCTGAAGAGCCACCAAGAACCATCATGTTACTGGTCCACCATAGCAGGCTTTTACTGGAAGAGTTGTACACCACTGCAATGACTGTCTGTGCGCAGGCCTTCGCCGTTCCAGAGACGTTGTGAGTGAGCGGGCTGGTGAATTTAATCTGGAGGCCTGTGACGTAGCCGATAGCGAAACCAAACACTCCTCCTAGTGTCATCACCCCCCAAAATCCGAGGTCAGTCAGGTGAGTGAAGTTGGCAATTTTGCCCGCTTCCCCGAACATGAAAATAAGAGGAAGGAAGAGGATGCACGCATTGATGTTGTTGTAGTAGGACAGCTTCCAGATGCTTCCATCCACAGCAGGCATCACCTTCTTAGTGTAGATGGCATTGAGAGAGACACAGGCACTCGCCAGCACCCCGAAAAATACGCCCGTCCAGGAGAGGGACCCAGCCAAACCTTCCTGATCTACACCGAGCCAGAACCCACCTGAAAGGAAAGCACACATTAGGAAAAAAGATACTTCATACGTCTTTGGACCATTGGGTTTTTAAAATAAACACTAATTTGGGAGATTTGAGAAGATCTACAGAAATTAGATTAACGTTGATATTACCCATAAAGAAGATTCCAGAGATTTCCCTCTTTCAGGAATTCTGTTTGATTTTTTAGAAATCTTTAAAAGTGATAGTCTTTGTAAATGGCCTGTATTAGTAAAGCACCTTCTACGGTTCTACAACCCCCCAAGGCGCTTCCACAACACAGTCATTCACTCACACACACACGAGCAAACGCTGGTGGTGATGAACTAAAATGTGGCCACAGCTGCCCTGGGGCGCACTGACAGAAGTAAGGCTGCAGAACACTGGCACCACCAGTCCCTACGACCACCACCAGCAGGCAAGGGGGGTTAAGTGTCTTGACCAAGAACACAGCAGCATCAGACTGAGTGGGACTTGATCCCACAACTTTCCAGTTATGACACAGTCACTCAATCCTCTGCCAGTGTATGGATAATGGCGGCAAAATATCATGTAATTTATGTTTTTGCTAAGCCCGCCCCATCCGGGAAAGACCCATATAGTTTGAACTGGGCACCGCTCAGAATTAGCCAATAGCATTAGACATTCACTTATTTACAGATGTCAGTCACAGAGCGTGTTTGCACAAGTACCATAACATATCATAAACAGCATAACATTAGAAGAACTGTAAAATGAGCTTCAGCTCGGTTGTCCAGTTAGAGGTACGCGTTCAGTAACAAGACGAGAGAGGAGCTTATGGTGCATTACATTTTTAACCTCTAGATGGTGCCCTCTGAGAAAAAAACAATTCCTGTTTTAAATGTTGGCAAAGATGGAAGATATTAGTAATGTAAATAAACAATGTTTTATACAGCTGCCGCTGAAAAGTTTGGGATTACGTGGAAATGCTTTCATTTCCACTGAAAAACCAAGTCTGGATGGGCAAAAAATGCAACAGGATATGTAGACATGGTCAGAGATTTAAATTTACTATAGATTAATGTGTCTTTAAAATGTTGTATTCTTGTAACAAAAAGAAAGAAAATCTTTACTTTGAAGCTTTTAGAGCCTGGCTGACCTCAGGCATCTCAGCTGTCGTTTATACTTCATCTCATGAAATTTCACCCTGTGCTTCTTGGAGCACATCTGTGGACTCTGCTGCTTTCTGCATACGAGTCGGATTTCCAGCAGACTGATTATTATTATGTCTGATTTGGCAGTTTAGTAGCATTCTGAAGGATTGGTAGTACGTTGTCACACTGGGGGTTATTATAAGTGCTGTGTCCAGAGGACAGCCCTTGACTGGCAACACTTTCATTCCACAAGACAAGATATTTCAAGAATAAGCAATCAGACATAATTTTGAATGTATGGAGCAGGGGGACCGCAGGGTGTGTTCCAACTACAAGGGGATCACACTCCTGAGCCTTCCTGGTAAGGTCTATTCAGGGGTTCTGGAGAGGAGGGTCCATCGGATTGCTGAACCTCAGATTCAGGAGGAGCAATGTGGTTTTTGTCCTGGCCGTGGAACACTGGACCAGCTGATGTGGTCCTGTTGGCTTCATCAGAACGTGATCTTCAGCTTTCGCTGGAGCGGTTCGCAGCCGAGTGTGAAGCAGCTGGGATGAGAATCAGCTCCTCCAAATCTGAGACCATGGTCTTGATTCGGAAAAGGGTAGAATGTCTTCTCCGGGTCAGGGATGAGGTCCTGCCCCAAGTGGAGGAGTTTAAGTATCTCGGGGTCTTGTTCACGAGTGAGGGAAAGCTGGAGCATGAGATCGATAGGCGGATTGGTGCTGCATCTGCAGTGATGCGGGCGTTGTACCGGTCTGTCATGGTGAAGAGAGAGCCGAGTCAGAAGGCGAAGCTCTCGATTTACTGGTCGATCTACGTTCCTACTAGGGATGTGAATCTTGGAGCAACTCACGATTTGATTCGATTCCGATTCTCTGGGTGTCGATTCGATTCAGAATTGATTCTCGATTTAAATCAATTCACAATCAATGTTAACAAAGAGTGTCAGTTCTAGGATTAACTACTTTGTGGTACAAGTTAGGTAAAGCTATGGGACATTTTTATTTTACTTTAAACTGGCCATGCTAAAAAAAAATGCAAATTTACAAGGTAAACTAAAGTGATTCTAAAACAGTGAACAGAAGCAATCTTTTGACCAAAAGGCAACATTTATTTTTGCTTACCTTGTTATATTTTACAAGTCTTTAGTTACCTAACAGTAGCTTTGAAAGTAATATGGTCAAATACTTTTCAAGTATGTGTGGAAACAAGTCTAACATTTGAGTCCTCAACCTGTTTTAAAAAAAGTGCCTTAGATTTCTTACAAAGGAAAATGTGTTCTGTCATTTATCAATAACTTAAAATAAATACATGAGTAATTCTGAGCCCTCACTTATTCTCATATTTATTTTCTAAGTTGATATCTCAAATTAATGAGTATGGAAAAAATGACATTCAAGTGCCCACTTATCAGCAGATTCAAAATTAAATCATCTCAATTTATGGGACCACAAAAGTAAACGGAGTACTAACTCTCCTAACAAAGATAAAAAGAAAAAAAAAACAGAAAAGAGCATCTCAAACGTGTAACATGCCAAACATTTGAGTTCTTGGGATAGATTTTGAACCTTTGTGAATCGATTCTGAATCTTTATAAATAAGAATCCCGACTCAGACTTGAATCGATTTTTTTCAGCACCTCTAGTTCCTACCCTCACCTATGGTCATGAGCTTTGGGTAGTGACCGAAAGAATGAGATCGTGGATACAAGCGGCCGACATGAATTTTCTCCAAAGAGTGGCTGGGTGCTCCCTTAGAGATAGGGTGAGAAGCTCGGTCATTCGTCATTCGTCATCCTCTTATCATATCATATCTTCTCATTAAGACTAACTGTACGTGTTTGCAGTTAAGACTAACTGTACGTGTTTGCATGGAGAAGAACATTCCCAACTGATCCCAAACCTAATGAGCAGTATTGTACTTCACCCAGCAGCACTAGTGAGTAATGCATGTCTGCAGCTTTAATTTTGTGAGCAAATTATAAACAAACAAAAAAAAAGTTCTGACATAAATGCTTTAAAACAATTATGACATATGCCTGTTGTGTGTTTTTGCACTGCTTCCTCTCCCTGCAGGCACAATTCTCTGCCTACTTCAGTGGTCCTTTTTCTACAGCGGCCACTGATCATAGATTTGTGAGATAATGTAAATAAAAACATACAATTGTCTTTCTAAAGAAATCCTATTAACACCATGGATGACACAAGACATAATAACTCAAAAAGCTTTTAAACTAAGATCAAGAGTGTAACATGATAAAGCAGCTTATAATAGTTGTAGTTACTTGTGCAAGCAGTACTTCCTGTAATTTAATTTCAGAAAACCTACCCAGTATGATCCCACAGCAGGTCAGAGCTTGCAGAGATGTAGTCTGCTTCAGGATGACGTAGGACAGCAGCACATTGAACACAGTGCTGAGGGAACGACCGACCGTGTAGAAAGCCACGCCGACATACTTTAGACACAGGTTGTTGAAGGTGATCATGCCGATGAAGACAATGGACAGCGGCAGGACCTCCCGGGACGTTTTCATATCGAACTTGACGGATGGGAAGTTGACGGTTCCCGGACACATACTGGACACCAGCCGCATGAGCCAGCACAGCCCCACGGTCACCACACACTGGTAGAAAGTCACAAACAAAGGCGCGTCCAAGTCCTGGTTGTCCAGCAGGTAGTTATTGAGGAACACCATTGTTATTGAGATGAACCAGTAAAGTGCAACTACAGCAGCTATCCTGACTGCTCGGAATAGGAAAGCTTCCTCCTCACGCCCGTCATGGTCCATCGTTTCTGAACCAGATAAAGCCATTTTTAAGATGCCCGTCCGCTTCAGCTGGGTCCTGTTCATGGTTACATAAAAATAACAACTTAGAACAACAGCTGGGACCTTTACAAGAGCTGAGAAGCAAATACAGAAGAACAGGATGCCGACATGATAGCTGAGTTCCGCTACTGGCAACAACAATCAAACTTCCGGTATGAGATTTTCAACATAAAAGCGCAATTACAAAATCTTTTCAGCCTTGAGGATTTATGAGCCACTACAGAATACATTATATATTGTTCTTGATGTTTAGTTTCTTTTTCAATGTATTTTTTTCTATTTTTTTTAAATTGTCTGGTTCTTGTACACGACTTTGAAATTTCAAAGAGGAAAGATTCTGACTACACAACGTTTATGATGTTATTATGTTCAGTTTGTGTTGCTTGAGGCAGTTAATTCATAGTTCCGCACTTGAATTTAAAACTTTAGGCTGTCTATGTAGATTAGCATGCACTAACATTTCAATGAATAAAATATCTGCCATTTTTTGCCGTTTACAAAATGTCCACACTGGCACAAAACACAGTAACACTAAACAAATAACATTTATAATTATGATGCAGTAGAATAGCCTATACAAATAAAATTAGGACTACATCAGAGGCAACACTGTTTGCATTACAAAAAGGCTAATGCACACCTGACCTAATGCGTCACGTGACTGCAATCCTTTTATTAATATTTTTTTTCCTTGACGGGACATCCGCCTCTATAACTAATTAAGCCACCAAAACGGAAAAACCCATGAACCATAAATGCTGACTACTTCCTTGTTTGAATGAGCTGCTTTTGCTTTAAAAAGATTTAAGTTTTCGCATTAGAGAAATATCTCGTTTTAGACTACAAACAAAGGGTTATGATAAACACATTTGCATACGCTATCTTTTATACTAACTTTAATTTAGAAAGTGGTTTGGTTTTCCGGTACTTCTAATTTTATATTTCCATGTCTAATGTGCATTTTACGAACCATCATCAGCCAGTAAACTATTTTTAAAAGTGTGTATTTTCTTACCTGTCGTCAGTAGAGCTGATCACGCTCTGGATCTGAATCAAACTTATCTTTAAGTCCCGCCCCCTCAGCTGCGCAGGTGGAATTTACCAACCCGTACTTCTTGATGTATGCCAGGGGTGTCAAACTCAAACTCACAAGGGGCCGAAATGAAACTCTGGGACGGAGTCGAGGGCCAAACTTAATATTTTTGAAAAAGTGACGGCAAATTTGCACATTTTCTTTATCAACATATATGCAATTTTGAACCTTTAAATTTGGAAACAAACTTATTTCTGCATTAACACTGAATGTGGAATAACCAAATTACACACGAGCAAGTCAGTTTTAAATAAAAGGCATCAGTGGTATTCATTACTTGTGGTATAATCAGCATTTTTAAAATCTATTCAGGATTTATGTTTTCTTGTTTATTCATTTTTCTTATTTTTTATTCTCCTTTTTCTCCTGTAATACGTGTCATCGCTGCTGTGACGTCTAGCTTTCCCCACTGAGGAACAATAAAGGGATTTTCTATTCTATTCATCTATCTGCAGTCTTTCCACTTCCTGTTTACTGTAGGTTAAATCTTTTCTCACAGGCCAACAACAAAATAAAAATTTTATTTTATCTTAAATTAAAATGCAACATCTCACCTGTTAACTTTCATGTTTTGGAGCAGAAAAAGACTATAAAACCAACATATTTAAAGCTCAGTTTGTTCCACTGGTTTACTGTGATGCTCACCTGTTCCAGCCAGATACCTGCATCATGGGGTTGATCTGAGCTGAGGAGGAGACTCCTGTTGTTTTGTTCATCTTCATCATAATAATGACAACATTAGACGACAACAGGTGCTCACATAGGTTTGTGCTGATGAACGTCTGAGCAGCTTGACCACGTTGTTGTGTGTCGGGGAGGAAACACAACCACAGAGTCCTGCTGGTTTGAGCGTGTCGCTGCTCGCTGGAGTTATATCGGCTCTGTCTGGAAGTTAGTTGGAACACTTTTTATTTCAGTCGTGAACACATTACTGAGCGATTAAAATCTCCGTTTCTGGGCTTCAACGTCAGAAAATAGCTGAGTGAACTCGGCAGAGGAGTGTAGTTTGTCCGGCAGCAGGCGGAAAAAACACAATGGAGGGGGCTTCCTCGGCTCCGCGCTGACGCCGCAAAGCATCATGGGAGTTGAAGTCTTTGCGGTAAAATCGGCCAGCGGGCCAGTTTTAATATATGTTTGATATTTATCTCGCGGGCCACATAAAAATGCTCCGCGGGCCGCATTTGGCCCGCGGGCCTTGACTCTGACATATGTGATGTATGCCATTCCTAGTGTTGTACTACAGACAGATGGCAGAGAGCCACACACACACACACACACACACACACACACACACACACACACACACACACACACACACACACACACACACACACACACACACACACACATTCGGCAATGAGTTGCTTTACCCACAGTGATAAAAGTGAACGTCAACCTTCCGTTGGGCGGATGTCGCCCTCTTCTTGCCGTTTGTGGCATTACTCGTAGTTAGCACCTGATTCGCGGATTTTTCAAGATTGTTAAAAATGAAAGAAAACAAAAACATTTCCTGTAACATGAAATCAATCATAATAAAAATAAATATTTTATTAGATGTTTGTTTGTAATCATGTATTACCCTTTTGATGTCAAACATGTGTCACTATTGGCTAGTGAAAGATTTTTTTAAACTGCTAAAAGATGTTATGATCATACTTTCATATTAAATATTCAGATTAACCTCATTGGATACAGGATTTTTTTCCAAAATACCTTTATTGAAAAAACCTCCATCCATTAAGGTTCATCAGTATTTCATAAATCCTCAATATTTTCAAATTGCTCTCTCTTGTTGTTCTAGTTAGTGACAGCAGGTGGCAGCAAGTCCTAATCAATGTTTTGCTTTGTTTTTTATTTGGCAGGCTGCTGCTGTATTAGTGTTAAAACACTACTAACGGTGTTTAAGATAATGAATACGATAAAAATTTACAATATATGTCTGTATTTTAGGTATTTGAACAGATTTATGGTCATGTTGTGATTCAAATTCTCTTGTCTTGCTCACCTGTCTCATAACTGCAGCCACTACTTAACAGAGTATGATAATAACAAATCATCTGGTCTTGTTACTGAATTTGTTCTCCATCATTTGTACCTCGTTGATCCTCCAGCATCTTTAGTTTCTCTTGTCAAAAAGGGTTTGACCATGACACTGACGCTACATTTTAACCTAATTTGGTCAATAGTGAAATTTTAAAGACAAGGCTGTAGCTTTTAAACATGCAGACAGGGTCTACAGACTTGATTCAAATCAATAAATGTAATAAAGTCTTACCTATGCTTTATTTAGTGAACAATCTGGTCTGACCTCCTAAAGTCCTTATTCTTCCCATCCACAGCTCTATGCTTGTTTACATGCTGGAAAATTGCTTTAGTTTTTTTCTTTTACTTTATATCATCTGCTACAGTACACAGTGAGTAAGTTGAGTGGTGCCGCTGAGCTAAGAAGCTACGCTCAATAGCTTATATGTGCTCAGTGAGGGTAAAGCTTCATCTTCTTCAAAGAGCAAGGGGAAGTATTTTGTGTAGCCTAAATCAGCCTGTAAACCCATGAACAGAGGGTGTTATCTTCATCTTTCATGCTCAAGCCTTATAAGGGAGAACTGCAATATTGTCAGCATTAGATTAAAAAAAGGATATAAATATATCCTGGAATTATATACATCTTACTCATCAGATGAGGGTTCTTTTCATATTCTACTTCAGTGAAGAAGGACATATCTGAACATCAGTAGCAACAATTTTCAGTATTTGCTTTTATTAATTTATCTTTTGTACAGAACTTTGGTTCTTTGTTTTTGTTTGTGCTTAACAAACTGGAATGAAAGGAAAATTAAAATATGTGATGACTTAAGTTTTAAAAATTAGCCCCAACAACCAAACTAAAGCTGTTCACCTTAAATACTAAAGAAGGAGAATCACTCAAAAAATAAAATGTGCTGTCTACCACAATTCAGTTTTGTATAAAGAAAATCTTTACATTGCTCTAATTTGAGGAGTTTTACCTGTACACAGATTAAAGCAAATTCAGTTTTATCACAAAGTTTTACCATTAGTAGATACAATCTGCTTTGGTATTTAAAGTTTCTTGATTGTCTGGAGAGAAACTTCTCTCGCCCGATTCCTTTTCCCACATAGTCACTCTGGCTTATACTGATATACTTAAAACCTCAGTTGTGACCAAACAGACATAAATTCAGCTGAAACCCCAAACCAAACAGACTTCTCTTAAACCAAAGAATAATACATGTAGACTTTCATCTGAACCATATATATTATTAAATATACCACCATCATTAGTGCATGAAACAGAGTTCAGTGCCTGACCCCATGGCAGTGTTATGCTGGATAATTAATAAATGCTTTTCACAAGAAATCTCCCTGCAAAGAGGGTTAGTAGAAATTAAAACCAGCAAGGTGGAGCTCTTTGGTTCTGACATCCAGTTCTGGACCAGAGTTGTTGTCCTACCTACTCTGCTTTCAGAACACCATCTGCTTTCTTTGGACAGAAAAATAGCAACATCCCAACACCTCCATCTTGGCCACACCACGTGTCATCACTCCTGGAAAATACAAAAAAATGAAGCTGTGAGGGTGGGGGCAGTTGATTAACACACATCAAACTTTGAGCTGATGTAGCTATGAGCTAACTGAAGATAGTGGAGGTTGGTGGCCACTTTTACCCAGATAACCGGGGTTGAGCAACTCGGTTACACTTTTAGTGTGAGGCTGAGGCCCTCCCTGCAGCTTTCAGGGGGATGAGCTGCTAGCACTAGCACTGGTGGCTCAACTGCTACATATCATTTAGAAGGACATGTGCCTATATAATTCACAAGTTTAAGCTTTAGTTACATCTAAACAAATGAGTCGCAAGAAATAATCCCCCTCATGATTGTCATGATGCTAAAATTGACATATTAAATCATTTTTCTTAACCAGGCTGTAAACATGTTTATTTCTGCTGTGAAGATGGCATTTTAACATAGGAGTCAATGGGGACTTGGTCCTTTCTGGATCCATCCTCAAGTGGATGAAGGGGGAACTGCATGTTTTGCCACTTCCATCTTGGCTTTTGGCAGGCAGAGTTTACTCCAGTTGAGACATAATGATTTGATTCCTGGCTAAATGCTGGAATGCCCTTGGTCAACATACCCACCTCCGCACTGTCCTGATGCTTAGCACGAGTTAAAACAAAAAAGGACAAGTGCTGCTTGACTGCATACTTACAGATGCTTCATTAGTTTGAATGTGAATTAGTTAATTGTGGCTTGTTCTACGTTCTGGAAAAGGATTTATGCAACTATAAAAGTGAAACGTAAACACACCCCTTGTGCATATTTAAGTGTATTAGGAGGATGTCTTCTGAATGCATCTGTAGCAAACAAAGGCCTTTAATTGAAGAAATATTTCCTTGGCCATTACTGCACATAAAACATCCCAGCGTTTTAGGACTTTTAGAGCCCACTCAGGAGGGCATCTTTCCTAATAACTAAGGCTATAAAACATGAATGGGCGGTTCGCTCAGAATTAACAGGAACATAAAACATTTATGGATCTTAGGGATGCAGCAACTTACCAACATCTCAGCATACATCCTCTTTATCTCTGTCAGACTGACTTAGTTGTGTTTATCAGGCTGCAGAAGAGTCCGTCTGAGACAATGAAGACAACTTCTGCTTCCTCTGCAACGTGTACAAGATGATGGTGATACTGCCTGTTTGGGTGAATAGGGTCTTATGCCAATCATGTAAAGAGCACCTCTCTTTAAGCTACATCTTCTTTGATTTATATCTATAAAATTCCCATGTTTCTCATTTGTAATGCACCCTGTTTTCGTCATCAAAAACTGATCTGTCTTTATTGTTTGTGTTTCTTGGTATGAAAAGCAGCAGTCAAAACAGATACACACTCATATACCCTATTAGTTTATTTGATCTTTTTGATAAAAAAATAGATACCCTACAATTACAAGACTGCAGTAGCATTTTCAACAGTGCTTTCAGTAGGGGGCACCCAAAACCTGCCTTTGGTGTCAGTCTTCCTCATTATTCTTTCTTCTATTTTGATTTCTTTGTGTATTACAGTATAGAAATACAGTCAGTATGTGAATATTATGATTTATTTTACAATCGTGCAAGCCCCTTGTTTCAAATTCGCCAAGCTGCATTGTTCTTTGAATAAGTTCTCATTTGCTTTCTTGTCAAAATTAATGTGCAAATAACTGAGACCTGCTCATAGCCATGTGGTCATATTGTTATGGCTGATCCGCAAAGAGTCATAACAGAATTGAAAGCAAAGCAAAGAGCAAATGAGCTTTATACATGTATATCCAATTCTCAAGGCGTTGTTCTGGATAAGCTAATTATTTCGGGTGAATTAAGTTAAACTATAATTCTCACAAGGGCTGAGTGGGCTGAGAGCGAGCCACAAAGGTCACCAGCAGACCATCTCACTGAATGAT